GACATACATACATACATACATACATACACACACACACACACATACATACATACACACACGGCGTGCGGATACCCACACAAAATTAATGCTTCACTGTTCTCCAAGATCATCTCGTCTAAGATAGCACAAATTCAGATTCATTGTTTCAGATATGGCACTTGCAGAATAAGAATCAGATGATTAAGGATCAGTGCGGGTGCGGGAACAGCTCGGTTGGTAGCACGCACGACTGTAGTGCGGATGGCCTTGGCTAGAGCCTGCAATAGTATGTTCTTTTATACTTAGGTTATCTTTGTAGTTTTCAAGGCTCTCCATCAATGTGGCGCGGTCTTATCGGTTTTTAAAAAACAAGAATGCTGGTGTCACCCACATCGGCACAGTTTAGATCACCTTGGAGGTGGGCTTCGACCCTATCGGTCAGGATAAATCCCGGCAGAGAGTGATACATTTTATCGATAAAAATTCTCCCAGGAAAGGAAGTGAACTCAGGTCTTCTGCGTGCGACAGCGAAGCCCCTAACCGTTATATGACAGACTCCGTGTGGGTGGTTGGAGGGCGCCTCTGGTTGGTCCTATTTCTTTACTTTCCACTATGTCGTCTCTGTCCGTCTGTCTTACTTTTCCCCTGCACTAATTGACCATCATTGTCTCGATATGCTTTCCTTTACTCAAACAAACAAAACAAACAAACAGACTCCGGTGCCCTAAGTATGATACCCATAAAATGAAATGACCTTAGAGCATAATCATGGCATTAAACCCGGACCGTCCGTACAGAGGTAGATATCATCTCAGACATAGGGGGATCAAGGCGATATCCTCGTGCAGAAGGAAATTATGGGTCTGGGTGGTCATTATACATACATTTTTTCTTGAGTTTAAATCCACTTTCAGTAACAACAACAAAACGGAGATTAAAACCTCCAAAATCAATGCTCATTTTGTTTACACAAGATACGAATGTCTAAGATATAGAAAAACCCATTAGTGATGTCGAGTCATATTATTATTTTCCCACTTCGTAGTCAGGTATTTTACCAACTGTGCCGACTATTTAAATTAATCAAAATATTAAGTAAAAATTGTCAGTTGCTGTTAAGACAACAAAATCCTTTCCAAACGTTCGTGAAGATGCTAAAACGGCTTTCTGGAAAAAAAGCTAAAAATATAAAAAAATTACCGCTCTTCTTGTTGAGGCGAGCTCGTTGTCAAAATTTGAAAGATTTTTTAAGCATTACCAGTT